TCTCTTTCTCTTCAACTATTTCCAAACCCTTCTTCCTCCAAGTTTCAACTTCTCCAAAAAATTTATTACCCCATTCCGAACCCAAATCACTTCTTGTCGTTGCCGCCCCCCGCCCGTCTTAGCATTCCGTTCAGCGGCTAAGCCTCATTTGGGTGCTTTTGTTTTCACTTTTCTCCATCCATCCACAACTTTTTATAGATTGTAAGTTTGCAATTCTATTTTTGTAAGATTTTTTTTAATTTCTATTTCTTGAGTTCTTTTAAGTTTTAATCAGTGATGATTGATTTCATATTAGACAAGAGTTTTGATTTTACTTTGATATTCTAAATTTCTAATGAACATTGTAAGACATTATTGGTTAAAAATTGTGTGATATGAACCATGTTAATTTGAATTAACTATGACTTACCCTATTAAATTTGAATTAATTGTGAGTTGAATTGAATTTTAATTTTTGTAGGAAAGTGTTCTAGTTTTGTGAATTGAGATGGAGAAGTTTCTTGTGAAATTTAACCATTCTCAAGCAAGTTCTAGTACGAATGTCAATCCTTCTAGTCTTATAGATGACCTTAATTTAGATTCACTTGAAGCCGATCCAGGAAAAAGAGTACCAATTGCTCACTATAACCCTCAAATAAAGGATGAAGTGAGGAAACATTATATTCAAAAAGGGCCTTGTCAACCAAAAATGGATTCATATCCTCCAACTGAAATTGGAAAAAGAATGCGTCAATTTTGTAAAATTTGGTTTGAAGGTCCATATTCTAAATGGTTGGAGTATAGCGTGGAGAAAGATTCTGTCTATTGTCTATGTTGTTATTTATTCAAAGATGATTTTTTCCATGGAAGTACAAGTGAGTTTTACACAAAAACGGGTTTTAGGAGTTGGAATAGGGCACTTGAAAGATTCCGTAAACATGTTGGTGATGTTAATAGTATTCATGACAAATGTTTCAACAAGATGCTAGATTTGTCAAATCATCATCAATCAATTCAAGTTGTTATTGATAAGCATTCTCAAAAGTTAAAAAATGAGTATCGAATGCGTTTGGAAGCCTCAATTGATGTGTCAAGACTTCTTTTGCAATATGGATTACCTTTTCGAGGTCACGATGAAAGTGAATCTTCAATTAATCAAGGCTTCTTTCTAGGATTTTTGCGATGGCACGGGGACAAACATCCGAATGTTGGAAAAGTGATATTGGAAAATGCCCCACAAAATGATACGTTGACTTGTCCTATGATTCAAAAAGATATTGCCAATGCTTGTGCAAAAGAAACATTGAAAGCAATAATTGGGGACTTGAATGGAGATTACTTTGGTATATTAGTTGATGAGTCAAAAGACATCTCTCACAAAGAACAAATGGCTCTTGTTTTGCGTTTTGTTAATAAGAATGGTGAAGTAGTTGAACGATTTATCGGTCTTGTCCATGTTAGTGATACATCGGCATGTTCATTGAAGAAAGCGATTTATTCTTTGCTTTCCGTTCACTCACTAAGTCCATCCAAAATACGTGGACAAGGTTATGATGGGGCTAGTAATATGAAAGGAGAGATAAATGGGCTCAAAACTTTGATTATGAAAGATAGTCCATCGGCATATTACATTCATTGTTTTGCTCATCAATTGCAACTAACACTAGTGGCTATTGCTAAAAAACATTTGGATGTTGAAGACTTTTTTGATCATGTTAGTAATGTGTTGAATGTTGTTGGAGGATCTTTCAAGCGTAGAGACTTACTTCGTGATCACCAAGCCAAAAAGTTAGAGCAATTATTTGAATCCGGTGAAGTTCAAAAAGGCCAAGGATTACATCAAGAACGTGGGCTTCAAAGACTAGGTGATACTCGTTGGGGATCACATTTCAAAACTTTAGATAACTTTATTGTTATTTTCTCATCTATTGTTCATGTTCTTGAAGTGATTGAACTTGAAGGGTCCACATCAAGTGATAGAAATCAAGCGGAGTATCTTTTAACAAAGATTAAAACATTTAAATTTATTTTTGTGCTTCACTTGATGTTGAAAGTGTTGGCAATGTCAAATGAGTTGAGTAAGATTTTACAAAAAAAAGATCAAGATATTGTTAATGCGGTGGAGTTTCTTAATATTACAAAGAAAAGATTGCAAGATATGAGGGAAAATGGATGGGAATCTTTGTTGGATGATGTTTTCTCATTTTGTGATGTGCATTATATCTTGATTCCCAAGTTGGATGAGTCTTATTTTCCCGGAAAGTCAAAACGTAAGTCTTCGGGTGTTAGTTATGCGCACCACTTGCGTGTTGAAGTCTTTTTTCCTGTCATTGATGTGCAACTTCAAGAACTTAATGACCGTTTTGATGTAGTGAGTAGTGATTTGCTTCTTGGGATGGGTAGCTTGAATCCGGTCAATTCTTTCTCTAATTTTGACAAAGGTAAAATCATGATTTTAGCAAAGTGTTATCCAAGTGAGTTTGATGATGGAAAAATTAGAGATTTGAGCTATCAACTCGATACTTTCATTATTCATATGCGAAGTGGTAATCCCAAGTTCTCCAACTTGCAAGGAATTCGTGATTTGGCGAAGGCATTGGTTGAAGCAAATCTCGCGGAGACTTATTCACTTGTTTATTTACTTGTAAAATTGACTTTGATTTTACCTGTTGCTATGGCAACTGTGGAGAGAGCATTTTCGTCAATGAAGCACATAAAAAATGAAGTGCGGAATTAGTATTGGTAATCAATATTTAAATGATTGTCTAGTGTGTTACATAGAGCGTGATGTATTTATAAATGTTAGTAATGATGTCATTATCGATCGTTTTCAGAATATGAAAACTCGTCGAGGACAATTGTAAATGAATGTTGAATATTTATAATATTAGTAATAGTAATATTATTGAAAGTTTTAAATTTGTTAACTTCATGCTTTTAGTGTGGAGTGTGGATTTGTAATATCTTATTATTTATATTTTATTGATTGATTTATGATATATATCGAAAAGACGAATAATTTAATCAAATATAAAATTAATTTAATCGATAAGTTTATTTGGCACCCCCGGACTCTAAATCCTGGATCCACCACTGCTTTTCAGTATACACTAGCTGCTCGTATGTTCTATTCTCTATTCATTTTGTACTATACACGTTCTCCTGGCATTCATATTTTGAAAATGGATGATAATACTTGATGCTTTATTAATGTTTCTCTTGCAGAGATGCTAGAGTGATGCGGGATCAAAAACAGGCCGGTCTAGGGGATTTTGGTTTGTTTCCCTTCGTAATCAGCAGTTGTTAAGCTAGATAAATATTATCTTCTGAACCTTTGCTATGATTGCAAATAAAAAATAAATAAAAGCTTTTGTTTTGTTTGTTTTGAGCAGAAGCCCAAAATGCTATAAATGACTTGAATGGTAAGATCAAATGTTTGGTCTATATCTTGTTTCTCCATTATATTTGAATGCCATCTCTACAATCTTATCAAATTAAGACCATGGTGTCTGTAGTAATTTTTTTACCATCCATATACTATTGGAATAATGCAGTTCCGCCTCTTTATATTCCTTATGTTAGTTCGATGGTAGACCTATATATGAATTGGAAAAATGTAGTTGTGCCTATTTATATTTCTTATGTTGGTTGATGGTATACCTATACGTGCAACCACAGTGAGTGAAGCTGTTAAAAAGGCCTAAGGTAAGCCTAAAATTAATTTGGAATGAAGTCAAGTACGGCCTACAGTTTTTCAGGGATCCATGTAGACTTAGCGAGAGATAGGATACAATGGAAGAAACATATCTACATAGGAGATATCTATTACACCCTTTGTCCCAACTCCCAATTTATCCTATACTCTTTCCTTTTTAGTTGGTCACAAAATGAATGACACCTTCCTATATTTAGTAACAGTTTGACTTTAATATGTTTATGATCTATAACCACACAATCTATGATTTATTTAGAAAAGAAGTTTTGAAAGTCTTCTTTTCTTCTTAAACTCCATGTTCAATCAAACATCATTCAAAGATTCTCTGCATTAAGGAATACAACTATCACATATGGTTGTTTCGCAATGCCTCCCGGAATGAGTTGGTCGACCAACCTCTTATTTCCAGGACCAAGACTTTTGTAGAAACAGTCAAGTAGAGCTATGTTGGGAATGCCATGATTTAGACATTGATTGATAAGTTCATTAAACCTTGCCCATGACTTGTGGATCCGTTCACCTTCCAATTGATTGAAGGTGAATATACGATCCCAGAACATCATTACCTCTAATGGAGGAAACTCCATTGGCTTCCGAGTATAGCTCGCCATGCTTGCTTCCCCTGTTTGGATACAAACAAGCTAACAAAACTAAACTAAAGATTAAGTAAGTAAACTACAACTAAGAAGAACAAAAATTCTACTAATCTAAGAATTCTCAAGTAACACCACTCCTCGGCAGCGGCACCATTTTGATGTTTATGTAATCAACGACACAACTTTCGATGCAAGTGTCTACGATCGTGCAATAGTATAATAACCCAACAAAAGGTTAGGGTCGAGTCCCAAGAGAGTGGTTTTGAGAATTAATAGAAAAATAAAATTAGTTCTAACTAGTCATAGCTAAAGACATTAACGATTAAAAACTTTGTAAATTAAAGGGGAACACAAGAGTGTCAATTAACAATGGGGGGGGGGGGGGGGTTTGTCACTAGTAAGTAAAAACAACAAAATCAACAAAGAAATCTAAGTAATGAGAGGGGATTCTGGGGATGTGACAGGAATATGGGATATACTAAATCATTGGGTACATACTTTTGATAGTAAATTCATTGAGTATTTATGACTAGGCTAGACTTTAAAGGGGATAAGCTCTCTCTCGAGCAACTTACCCCGTTTTCAAGCGGGTTCCTCTCGGACATCCACTTGCCGTATGAAGAACAGCCTCCGCCTTAACCTACTCACTCTCTCGAGCTGAGTGTGTGGAGATGGGACTAGGGTTCACTCTTTCGAACTGAACCTCATGTCGACCCACTCGCACTGGTCATCAATTTAGTGGTCTTAGTTTTACGACATCTCTCTCGTGTAAGCCGAAATCACATATATGAGATTATATTTGCAACTACAACCTCATTAAATTCATCCACAACCACTAAACAAAATCATATTTAAACTATGAATAGACTATCAGCAAGCAAGACCCAACAACTAAGAGATAAGAATTTATGCCTAAATGAGTTTGCATTCAAATGGGTATGAAGATTTAAGTCTTGTTACAGGCCAAAAATGAAGAATCCAAGAGACCCAAGTCCAAACCCTTGGAGATGAAACCCTCTTCTTCTTCAAGTTTTCAAAACCCTTTCAAACTCAGAGCAAAAATAAAAAGTACTAAAAATTATATTAAATTGTTCCAACACTAAAAAATCTGATATTAAGCTACAACTCTCAACGAGTATTTATAATTTTCAAAAATTTATGCTGCAGCGGATCATTCGACGATATTAGTCGGAATCACCGATCAAATCAGGTTTTTCACCCTTTGGTGTAGTTCATCGTCGTCTTGCACCATCCTTCAGCATCGTTGTGATTTAGGTCATTGGGTGACATGGTACTGCCTTGCAAAACTTCTCGGTGATGCACCGACTGCTCCCTTTTTCCGCCCACTTGATCCTTTTCTTCAGGGCTCAGCACACACTTCGGCGATTCGCCAAGTGGACTCGGCGATCCTCAGGCCTTCATTTCTTCGTTCTTTTCAGCCCTTTCGTTCCTTTTTGCGACGTAGTGTCCATGCTTCCTTCAAATTTCAAATACCTAAAACTTAAGTGTTTTCATAAGATATTGAGATAAATTAAGCATTTGAGGACACAATTTCTATTAAAAGATAGCCCTAAATGAGTCCAATTTGTGGAATCATCAATGCTCCATCAAAGAACATCCTCCATCCATCATATGTCTTCTCCTACAAACAAAACCTCATCATCAGGGAAGTAAGTCATGAGCGGTTTGTAATCATGGTCCACCGAGTTTTCTGCGAAATGATCAGTAGGGCTTGTCCTTTGATGACCTTCTGTGTCATGTACACGATATCAAACTCGCTCAACAAAATTTGGCACTTTGCCAGTTTACCTGTAGGCATTGGTTTCTGAAAGATGTACTTGAGTGGATCCATTCTTGAGATCAAGTACATGGTGTATGCAAACAAGTAGTGCCTAAATTTTTGCGCGATCCAACTCAAAGCGCAACATGTTCGTTCCAATAAGGTGTATCTTTCCTCGTATGGTGTGAACTTCTTGCTCAAATAGTAAATGGCTTGCTCTCTTTTACCTGTCTCATCATGCTGCCCCAATACATATCCAAATGCATTATCCATGACAGATAGATATAATAACAAAGGCTTTCCAGGCTCTGGTGGGACCAATACTGGTTGGTTGGACAAGTATTCTTTGATTCTATCGAAAGCCTTTTGGCATTCCTCTGTCCATTTCGTGGCAGCATCCTTCTTCAGTAACTTGAATATAGGTTCACATATCACTGTGGATTGAGCTATGAACTAACTAATGTAATTTAGTCTTCCCAAGAAATTCATCACGTCCTTCTTGGTCTTGGGTGAATGTAGCTCTTGGATTGCCTTTATCTTTGATGGATCCAACTCTATGCCTTTCCCACTAACGATGAATCCCAATAGTTTTCTTGTGGGTACCCCAAATGCACACTTTGCTGAATTCAACTTCAGATTATACTTACGCAACCTCTCAAAGAACTTTCGTAAGTCATTCAGGTGGTCTGAACTTCTTTTGGATTTGATAACGACATCATCCACGTACACTTCAATTTCCTTGTGGATCATATCGTGGAAAAGGGTAGTCATGGCCCTCATGTAGGTTGCATCGGCATTTTTGAGACCAAATGGCATTATTCTGTAGCAATACACCCCCCATGGAGTGATAAACGTTGTATTCTATGCATCATCTTCATCCATCAGGATTTGGTGATATCCTGCAAAGCAATCGACAAATGATTGCAACTCATTTTTTGGCACAATTATCGATGAGTATATGAATATTTGGAAGAGGGAAATCATCCTTAGGACTAGCCCTGTTGAGATCTCGATAGTCCACACATATTCTGATCTTTCCATCCTTTTTTGGCACAGGCACAATATTGGGTAACCACGTGGGGTAATTTTTAACCTTCACAACATTCGCCTCAATTTGCTTAGTTAACTCCTCCTTGATCCTTAAACTCAAATCTGGCTTGAATTTTCTTGTATTTTGCTTAACATGTAAACAAATGGGATCAGTTGGTAATTTGTGCAAGACAATATCAGTGCTTAATCCTGGCATGTCATCATAAGAACAAGCAAATACGTCAACATACTTCTTAAGCAACTCTATTAACTCTTGCTTTCTTTCAACCTCCAAATGTATGTTAACTCGTGTTTTCTTCACGATTTTTTCATCTCCTAAGTTGACAACCTCTGTTTTTATCCATAATGGGTTTCTTCAGACTTCCAAATTGTTCAATCTCATGTGGTAGATTTTCAAGCATCATGCTCTCATCATACTCTTCGTGATCTTGTTCATCACTTTCACCTTTCTCGGTAGATTCGTTACATGTCATAACCGTTGAACGAAGATTTTTTATTAATATGAGCGCTGAAAAGTAGCAAAAGGTAAGTAAAAATAAATAGATATTTAAAATAGCTAAGAAAATTTTTTAAATAAAAATAAAGACATTTTATTT